GGAGCACTACACACTGGGGTCAGTTGGGGGGAAATAGGGGTGGGACGGTGGGGGGTGGGGAGTTGGGGAGAGATAGCAAGGGGAGAGATGCCAGATGTAGGTGATGGGGAGGAAGGCAGCAAATCACCCTGCCATGTGTGTACCTGTGCAACAATCTTGCTTGTTCTTCACATGTACCCCAAAACCTAAAATGCAATAAAATAAATAAATGGGAAAAAGAAAGAATATAAAACACATAGCAGAGATTTGTCACAAGTAGAAGTATCATGTGGAAAGGCATATTATTTTACTGCTTTGTAATATATTGTGGCTGTTTAGTTATATTAGTTTACTAATGACGGAGAATTACTCAATAGTATTTGAGGTATTTGGAAATACCCATGGCAGAACTATATTTAGTCCTCTCTTGATTTCTGACAATAGTGAGCTTTCTTCAGAAATAGTATTTTCTCAATATCTTGCCTGAGAGTTTCCCTTAGTTGGAGTCTTAGATAAATATTCTATTGTCAGAAGAGCTAATAGAAGTTATTCAGAGTCCTCCTGAGCTAGTTGATTCAGTAAGTTTTTAAGTAAACTGTGTTAAGAGTCATGTGGTAAGAAGGGGAAGATCCAAAATAAGGAGGTTTCTAAGCTACACATAATTAGGTTGGGAAGGGATGGGGAGTTTGGTGATTTGCAGGACGTGCTTTTGTTTTCGTTGAGTTCATTTCTTGAAGTGAGGTATATATATATTTTTTGAAGTCTTAAGTTAGGGACTAACAACCTGTAAGATGTCAAGACTCAGTATCCAAGTACCTCTTTTGAAAAATAGTTGTATAATATTTTAAAAGAAATAGAAGCAACTCTGCAAAGACAAAATCCCTGACTGCGTGGTCCTAATAAAAGCTACTTTGCTTGCCTTTTTCCCCCTTGAGGTTCTTCCATAGTAGTTAATAGTTAAATAGACTTTTTAAATGTTGCTGGGAAAAATAATTTATTTTAACATCAAATTGTTGAGAAATCTTTAGGGTTGCCTATGAGCAGTAGTTGGAAGTGGTCTCATATTCACAATAAGACAATGGACAGACTACTCCTTCTTGAATACATTAATAGTTAAAGGTACATTCTCTGCATTGATAGAGCTGTGATGAATACAAAGGAGTATAGTGCTGAATGTGAGCACCAGTGATATGTTTGTGTCATATAACATTTCTGTGCTTAGTGAACTTTAGAATGCCAAGTAACTGCTCATTTACCACTAACTTTCAGTAATTCAAGAGTACTTGCAAATTTTAGGGTACATTGATCCCCCCTGCCCCCCGCCATCCTTCTGCTCAAGTAGCTTTGCTATTTTTCTTTTCTTTTTTTTTTGAGACAGTCTCCCTCTGTCACTCAGACTGGGGTGCGGTGGTATGATCTCGGCTCACTGCAACCTCTGCCTCCTGGGTTCAAGCGATTCTCCTGCCTCAGCCACCCAAGTAACTGGGACTACAGACACACACTACCATCCCTGGCTAATTCTTGTATTTTTAGTAGAGACAGGGTTTCACCATGTTGGCCAGACTGGTCTCGAACTCTTGATCTCAAGTGATCCACTTGTCTTGGCCTTCCAAAGTGCTGGGATTACAAGTGTGACCCACCATGCCTGGTGATTTTTTTTTTCTTTTTTTGAGACAGAATTTTGCTCTGTTACCTGGGCTGGAGTGCAATGGCGCAGTCTCGGCTCACTGCAGTCTCTGCCTCCCAGGTTCAAGCAATTCTTCTGCCTCAGCCTTCCGAGTAGCTGGGATTACAGGCATGCGCCACCACGCCTGGCTAATTTTTATATTTTCAGTAGAGATGGGGTTTCACCATGTTGGCCAGGCTGGTCTTGAACTCCGGCCTCATGTGATCCACCTGCCTTGGCCTCCAAAGTGCTGGGATTAAAGGTGTGAGCCACCATGTCTGGCCAGTTCAGATTTTCAAGCTTTACAACTTTTCCTTTTAAGATTTATGAATAGAGGAACCCGGATTTGTGAGAAGATTAGTGATGAAATTTGGAAAACATAGTACCTAGAACTTCTAGACCCGCTTGACTTTCCCCATCTTCTAGAGAAGAATAATAAATAGAACTTGATAGTTTCTTAATACCTGGCAGGATCCAGTTCCAGAAACAAGGTGGAATAGGAGGGAGGCTTTTTGTTTCTGCCACCACATGATAGAGTGGAATTACTGAAGGTTTTGATGCCAGATGGGCCTGGGTTTGAGCTTGGATTGTCCGCTTACCAACTTTGCGACCAGCAGGCTACTTGGCTTTTCCAAGGCTCAGTTTTCCCTCTGTAATACCAGAGCTAGTGATAACCCCTGTCCAGTTGGTTGTTGGGAGGGATGGATATGGAAAATGACTTGGTGAAGCCTGTATAGTATAAGAACTAAACCAGTGTTAGTTCCTTTCTCATCTTTTAAGTTTTACCCCTTTAGAGTATGTCTTTTAATAAAAGGCAAGTGTGTTGAAAACAGGACATTTGCTGGCAGTTTGACTTGGTATTTAGATGGCTTGTTTTCCTCTCTGCTGGATCACATTGCAAGCAATAGGTTTTAGAGATAGCCCCAACCTGACCCCAAAAGACTCAACTGACCCAGAGGTCAAATTATCTATGCATTGAAGTTTTGGTCATGTTGTTTTCTTGTATCCGAAGATATTTTATTTGTTTTCCCCATGTAGTAAGGTGTAATGACAGCCCAGGTATTCCTTGCTTTAAATGTAAGCAGTAGCTATGCAGGACATTTTCACATTGATTGGATAGGACATACTGTCCTTTGAAGCAGGGGTTAGGCAGTAGTGGTGCAGTGCCCACGCACACTGTTGAATTAATCACTGCAGAGTTCTTGGCTTTGATCAACCTGCACAGGTAAGATAAAACTGCCTCTAAGAGGTACCAGCAACTGTAGGAGAAATGATGACTACAAAACAGAGAGGAATAAGAGAGATAAGGTTTAAGAGTGGCTTTGACAGAATTGGTTGTTTTAACTAATGACTTCTTTGGTGCCTCTTAAGTATATGGATCTTAGTTTCTTTTTTTACCCCAAAAAGTCACAAATAAAATACAGATCTTAGGTCTTAGGTCTTGGGTCTAGGCACAGACTTACGTTCTTAACTTAAATCCTAGTTGTGCTATTTTTGGCTTAGAGCTTTTTTGTTTTCAAACTCCTTTTATCTTAAAGTCACTTATAATAATAATGGTCCTTTTGTAAGATTGAAAATGTGTCCTTAAGGTGCTGTTCATATACAAAATGTGAAACCCAGCAGACACAGCACACTGATGCAGTGAGGATTGTACCTTACAGTGTGGTAGAGATCAGTGCCCTCAAGTTTTGGAGCCAGATAGTAGTCCTTGGTTTGAATTTCAACTTTCCCACTTACTTGTTCTGTGACTTTGCAAGTTGCTTTACTGTTTTACACGAGTCCTTTTCTCATGTGTAAAAATAAAAGAGTATGCTATTACTTTCCTAAGATTATAAGGATTAAACAAGTAATACATATAGAGTGTTTAATACATAGTTGGCAGGCACTGAGTAACTGTTAACTCTGTCAGTAGTATCTCTCAATCTTTACTCCTGAATTTGATAAGCTGTTGTTGTCTCTTTGAAAGTAAGTGAAATACGGGGCGGAGTCTCTTGCAGTTCTTTAGGGGGAAAGATATGAACTAAAGCTATTATAATTGCTGTTTGTCATGTTCTTCAGGTTGGTAACAAGGAAGATGCTGAGGAGGAAATAGCTATTTCTACCTTCTCATCCAATACCCAGGTATCCTGCCCACTGTGTGACCACAGCTTTCCACCCACAAAGATCGAACGACATGCCATGTACTGCAATGGTCTAATGGGGGAAGATACAGGTAAAGACCCATCAGGACAGCCAAACTCTTACTTTTTTGTGTGGTGGTTTTGCTATCCTATACAGTACATTGCGGGGAAAAAACAGATAGCTATTCTTCAAAGTTAAAGTTGTTGTTGGTTTTGGTTTTTTTCTATCTAGTTATTTTTCTAGTACTTTTATGTTCATCTTTACTTTTAGGAGGTATATTGTCTTGTTACCCATACCTCAAGAGAAGGGGAAGGGAAAAGTCTTTCATCTTTTAATTTTTTTTGTTTGTTCTTTTTTTTTTTTTTTTCTGTTTTTTTTCTTTCCTCCACCTGAAAATGTTTTTTTTTTTTTTTTTTTTAAATGGAGTTTCTCTGTTGCCCAGACTGGAGTGCAGTGGCGTGATCTTGGCTCTCTGAAACCTCCACCTCCTGGGTTCAAGTGATTCTCCTGCTTCAGCTTCCGAAGTAGCTGGGACTACATGCGTGTGCCACCACACCTGGCTAATTTGTTTTTTTTTTTTTTTTTTTTTTGTATTTTTTTTCCAATAGAGATGGGGTTTCGCCATGTTGGCCAGCCTGGTCTCGAATTTGTGATCGCAAGTAATCCGTCATCCTCCTGCCTTGGTCTTTCAAAGTACTGCGATTACAGGTGTGAGCCACTGCACCTGGCCCATCTTTTAATGTTTTAACTTACTGTTTTACATAGATAGGCTAAAAATCAGTCCATTGCAGTGGACCTTGGATTTCATCTTATGTACAGTATTCAAATATTGAGATTCCTGTGGAACTTGAGGAACTATGTTCTAGAGTTGCCCATTTTTCATTCAGAATAAATCCCTTGTAGGCTTTTGTTCTCTTTCTGTAGTTTGTTTTAATAGAAATTCTACACCAGCTGAAAAAATCCCTAATTTACATTCATGTTCTACATATCTCTGCTGAGTTACCCAGGAGCTGTTGATTTATCTCTTTAAGAGATAAGGCCGGGTATGGTGGCTCATGCCTGTAATCCCAGCACTTTGGGAGGCTGAGACGGGTTGATCACGAGGTCAGGAGTTTGAGACCAGCCTTGCCAACATGCTGAAACGCTGTTTCTACTAAAAATACAAAAAATTAGCCGGGTGTGGTGGCGGGCTCCTGTATTCCCAGCTACTCAGGAGGCTGAGGCAGGAGAATGTCTTGAACCCGGGAGGTGGAGGTTGCAATGAGCCGAGATCGTGCTGTTGTACTCCAGCCTGGACAACAAGAGTGAAACTTCATTGTTTTTAAAAAAAAAAAAAAAAAAGAGTGTATCAACATATCTAGTTTTCAGAGAGCATGAGGAGACATTGATCAAGAAAATCTTAATCATAGCCCTTGAAATACCACCTCTGATTTGGCCTTTCTGTTTATGATTTTAAACTCTAAATATGATCATGTCAGCACAGCTTTCTATAGTCTAAGATGCTGAATGTGAACCTAGATAATTAGAAGTGTTGCAGTGTTCTTCTCAGTGCTACTTGATTCCTGTAACTTAGGTGTATTTAAATATGACATTGTATAATTGTGAAGTGTTTTTTAAATTAAGATTGCCAGAGAGGCAAGGCACATGTTGTTTACTTTTATTTTTTTTTTTAGACAGAGTCTGTTCTTGTCACCCAGTCTGGAGTGCAGTGGCACAATCTCAGCTCACTGCAGCCTCCACCTCCTGAGTCCAAGCAATTCTCCTGCCTTAGCCTCTCGAGTAGCTGGGATTACAGGTGCCCGCCACCATGCCCGGCTAATTTTTGTATTTTTAGTAAGATGGGGTTTCACTATGTTGGCCAGGCTGGTCTTGAACTCCTGATCTAATGATCCACCTGCCTTGGCCTCCCAAAGTGCTGGGATTACAGGCATGAGCCACCATGCCTGGCTGTTGTTTACTCTTCTTGAAGTAATATATTTTTAGTTATTAAATAAGGAAGTACATAAGCAGTTTAATAAATTTGTTGATTTTTCTGATTGAAAAGTGGTACATGTTCCTTGTAATAATAGTGGCTTACATTTATTGAATACTTAAAATTAGACATTATTTACACAACTGGGGCCATGCTATGTATAGCTCTTTCTGTATATATTATTCTGCAACTTGTCCTTTTTATTTAGCAGTAAATTTAGATCTTTCCATGTACAGATAAATTTTTGGCATAGCTGAGGATTGACTGTTTATAAAATTTTATATTCTGCTTTCTCTGTTTATAGCATAAATATTTCACCATGTTACAAAATTACTTATAAAAATATTTTTAATGCTGACGTAATATTTGGTAACCTGGATTGCTTTCATTTGCTTAATTATTACATATGTGAAATGCTTCAAGTTACTGTGTTATAATCACACAGTACTGAGCCTCTTAGCCTAAAGTTGTCACTGAATTTTGGAATTATTTCCCAAGGATATGTTCCCATATAGGGTGGTAGTAAGAAAAGATAGGCTCTGGAGGGCCAGTCAGTTTGAGCTCAAGTCCCACCTCTGTTACTCACTTACTAGTGTGTGACCTTGTGCTAATTTCCAAGCTTCCCTTTATGCAACTGTGAAATAATAATAATTACCCTGTTCAGTTTTT